TCTCTTGAATCACAACACTTGCTCTTATAAGAGCAGTCTGCTTCACTCTCTGGACTAGGAGAGGCCTACACACTGGAAGCTGGATCCTGGTCTTGGGTCCAGGGTGAGTGGAGGACAGCGAGACATCAACCAAGCTGCGGCGGTTTGTGGGGTTTACGGTGGTTATGGTGTTCCAGTGCGGTGCTTATGGTGCTTTCAAGTACTAGGAAGCAGTGATTGACGGAGGTACCCGGTCAGGGTGACAGTCGGTCCGACACAAATACTATATATACTTATATACTAATATACTAATATAGGTACTAATACTGACGGAGGATTTCTAGTGTAGTAAATTCTACTAATCTCAGTTTATCTAATTTTCTTCCTCTCTACTTTTTAGCCCATGTTAATATTGTGCTATTTATGTTAGTCCCTTTATTTTATTTGTTTTTTCAAATTTTTTCCAATAATCAGTCAATCTATGTATCTATGTATCTATCTATCGCCTGAGATGTATATTCTATTAATGCCCAAAGTGGAAGTAAAAAGGGAACGATCTTTGACATCTATTTTTCTTTTTTTATACAGAAAAACAAACAAACTTTGAACATGTGTTTCTTCTTGGTGACCACTGTTTAGAGATGGAAGACACATTGAAGTTAAATATATATCAAGAAATTCATGGACACAACCATTCATTTGTCACAGAAATACTCATCCTGGGATTTCCTGCTCTACATGCCTTTAGGATCCCTTTCTTCTGTATAGTCCTACTAATTTACTCCATAACATTAAGTGAGAACATTCTGATAATTATTCTTGTTTCAACAAGTCATCAGTTACATTCCCCTTTGTATTTCTTTCTTGTCCATTTGGCCACAACTGACATCATCTTGGTAACAAATATTGTCCCAAACATGCTACACATGATAATAAGAAAAGGGCTAACCATGCACTTTTGGAGGTGCATGACCCAGTTCTTTTTGCATGGGATGTCCGTTTGTACAGAATGCTTCCTTCTTACTGTAATGTCCTATGATCGCTATCTAGCAATATGCACACCATTGCACTACATTCTCGTTATGAATAAACCTTTTCGATTTTGCTTGGTTGCCTGCTGTTGGACATTGAGTTTCATATTGGCACTATTTATTCTTGTACTTACATGTAATCTAAATTTCTGTGGTCCTAATGTCATTGACCACTTCTTCTGTGATTTTACTCCTGTCCTAGAGCTGGCATGTTCAGAAACCTTGATTTTAACAACAGACATGTTTGTTCTTTCAATCCCAATGATCCTATTACCGTTTATATTCATTACTGGAACATATATCTGTATTTCCATTACCGTCATCAAGATTCCATCTCTCTCTGGTCGTCAGAAAGCCTTCTCCACTTGTAGTTCACACTTGATAGTTGTATGTATGTATTATGGATCCATGTTTGTTATATATACAATTCCCAATAGGGGATATTCTTTTTCTATAGATAAGTTCATTGCATTGATTTACATTATATTTACCCCACTTCTGAATCCAGTTATATATTGTCTACGTAACCAGGAGATCAGATCATCCCTGAAAAAGTATAAATGTTAAACATGGACCTTAGCAACTTATACATTTCTGCTTGCAATATGTGAATACTCTATAGCAATTATTAGTGGAAAATACATAGAGGAGCATTAGGATCCTGCAACATGAGACTGAATTTTAGTCGGTTTAGTGTCGAGGAAATGCCTCTAGTGGCTTTTAGTATGACAACCTCTAGAGGTGTACTTAAGCATGGAACATAAACATTGCAGTTTCTAAAAACCTGCAATTTTTACATTGCAGGGTGTTACGGTTACCACCAGGCCTGCTGGACCGCTTGGATGATCTGGATCCCGGTGTGGAGAGAGGGAGAAGCCGCTTCGACTAGTCGACCAAAAGGATCCTGTAAATGTAGAACTATCCCACTAGCTATAGTACAGCCAGGATACTCTTTTCCCAACAAAACGAGTCGAGGCTGAGATTTGAAGGTCAAACAAGAACTGGCTTTAATGGCGCACAGGGGTCGGTATTTATGCAAAATCTCAGGTCCAGGGACAGCCCACACTGGACCTGATGGGATACAGGAATAATGAAATGCATTGTTTGAATTTGTTTCTTGGAGATAATGAACCCAACGGCTATGCCAATACAATTATCTCCAAGCGCCCAAAATACCACATTTTTTTTACACATCAAAAACAGGTTAAAAATATATAACTTCAACATTTTCAGCTATACTTCGGGACTTCTACCATTCATTCTGTAGCCCAGGTCCGTGTGCAATATTTCACCGAATAGCACCTCAAACCCACGAACCATATGCTTGGTTTCTTCGTTGCAAAGTCCGTTCGCATATTTGGTCCCGAGCTTGAGATGGCGGCCATGTTTTTGAGTGAGTCAATAGGCAGCGGGACCTCGGCATCAAACTTGTGGAACAATTAACGGCCAGAGTTGTGCACGAATCCCCTCTCTCTGGCTGCATGTTTCAGCTGTTTGGGAGACGAACTTAGACCGCCGTGAAGGGGGTACTTAACCTGCGGTTAACCGCAACACTCAACATTCTAATTGAGGCCACACGCCAGGCTGTAGGTGGTCCCCGTTCGTGCCCCTTTCGGTAGTTAGACCATCGGGAGATAAGGCACGAACGCGGATGCCCGGGACCGTCAATTAACCTGCGGTTAACCGCAGACCGCAACTCCCTGGGCGATCAAGTGGTAACACACTCCCCTCGCCGGGTGGTCGGTTTGTTCGGTTGTTTGAAGGGTGACCGGGGTTAAGTGGCGGCACACGCCAGGGACCAGGTGGTCTGTTATTCATGTAACGAATTGGTGTGAGTAATCCGTTCGTGAGTTGGGTACAGGATTCCCATACCGAAGCAATAGTATAACAACGAAACAACATAATGCTGGTCTGTAATGAGTTTGTAACAGTGCTCCCTTTTTGTGGAACACTCTGGCAGACACCATCTGACCCCTTTTTGGGGCAGACTAAGGCTGACCAGACTGACGGTTATGTTGAACTGAGGTCTGTTTGTCTGGACAACCTGTCGGCGTTGCCATTCTGTTTTCCAGGTCTGTAGGTAATGGTGAAAGTAAAAGGTTGCAGTGACAAACTCCACCGTAAAAGTCTGCCATTATCCCCAGAGACCCGGTTTAGCCATACCAACGGGTTATGGTCTGTAACCAGAGTGAACTCTTGTCCGTACAAATAGGGAGTCAGTTTCTTTAGTGCCCACACCAGAGCCAAACACTCCTTCTCTACTGCGGCATAGCTGACTTCGCGTGGCAGGAGCTTACGGTTGATGTAGGCAACCGGGTGCTCCCCTCCGTCTTCGCCTACTTGACTGAGGACAGCTGCCAAGACAGGAGCGTTAACAAGTGCATGTTTGATAGCCTGAAAAGCCGCTTCACAGTGGGGAGACCACAGGACCTGTCTGGGTAAGTTTTTCTTGGTCAGGTCAATCAATGGTTTGGCAAGTGTGCTGTAGTCCGGTACAAACCGTCTGTAGTACCCTGCCGTGCCCAGGAAGGCTAGAACCTGTGTCTTAGTGGTGGGCGTGGGCCAGTTGGCGGCGGCTTCTATCTTAGCCGGTTCTGGTCTTTGTTTCCCACATCCCACTCGGTGACCCAGGTACTGTACCTCGGCCATCCCAAAGTGGCATTTTTCTGGCTTCAGTGTCAGGCCGGCGGCCCGAATCTGATCTAGAACCATTCCTACATGAGCTAGGTGGTCCTCCCAGGACTCACTGTGGATCACTATATCATCCACATATGCGCAAGCAAAACTCTGGAATCCATCCAGGAGCCTATCCACCAAGTGCTGGAATGTAGCTGGGGCATTCTTCATACCGAACGGCATTACCTTAAAATGGTATAATCCGAACGGGGTGACGAATGCGGACTTGGGGATAGCCTCCTGGGCCAGGGGAATTTGCCAATAACCCTTGCAGAGGTCAATGGTAGTTAGATAATTTCCCCTGGCTATCCGATCAAGTAGCTCGTCTACTCTGGGCATAGGGTATGCCTCTGTCACAGTTTTCTCATTAAGTTTCCGATAGTCCACACAAAATCGGGTAGTCCCGTCTTTCTTGGGCACTAGGACCACTGGGGAAGCCCATGGGCTATCGGAAGACTCAATGACCCTTAGTTGGAGCATCTCATCAATCTCCTTTTTCATCTCTGTCCGAACTGCCTCTGGGATTCGGTATGGTGCCTGCCGTAAGGGGGTTTGCCCTGGGGTATCCACCTGGTGGGTGGTCAAGGTAGTGTATCCAGGTTTCTGAGAAAAAGTGGGGCTTTTCGCTTGAAGTAGCTGGTTAAGCGGCTCCCTTTCAATGGAGTTAATTCGGTCTCCTATCTTGACCTGGGACACTATGGCTCTTTTCTAATAAGTCCGGTATGGGTAGGCTGTCGGGGTCTTCGTGGGGGGGACAGCATACCGCTGTCACGTTCTCAGGTCACTCGAAATATTCTTTGAGCATATTTACATGGAATGTCTTTCTAAGGTTGTTGTCGTGGCAGCTAGCTATCACGTAAGTGGTGTCTCCCCTCTTTTCTACTACTTGGTAGGACCCCTGCCAGGAGGCTTGGAGTTTGTCTGTCTTAACCGGCTTAAGTACCAATACCTTTTGCCGTATGGTAAAGATTCTCTTCCATGCCCCCCGATCATACCATACCTTCTGTCTCCTCTGGGCCGACTGGAGGTTAGCCTGAACGGATTTGGCTAATTGCTCCATTCGGTCCCAGAGTTCTAGCACGTATGGACACCGTCAGTCTCTATCTCTTCCTCCCAGTGCTCTCGGATCAGGTTTAGGGGTCCCCGTAACTTGCATCCAGGGGAGAGAACCCTGTCGTTTCCTGGGGCACCTCCCTATAAGCAAATAGGAGGTGCAGCAGAAACCGTTCCCAGTCTCTGTACTCCTGGGTGAACGTTTTGAGCTCAGGAGAGACTTAATCTTGCAGACTTGCCAGAGTTGCTGTGTCAATTCGGCTGTAAACTGGGTGCCTCGGTCAGACAGGATTTCCTTTGGGAATCCTACCCGAGAGAAAACCTGAACCAGTGCATTAGCTACCGTATCCGATTGAATGTTAGATAGGGCTACCGCCTCTGGGTACCTGGTCACGTAGTCTACTACGGTCAGGATGTATCGCTTACCGGAGGGACTAGGTGTAGCTAGTGGCCCTACTAAGTCTATGGCAACCCTGCTGAATGGCTCCTCTACAATGGGCATATTCACCAAGTGTGCCTTAGGGTGGTCACCTCTCCTCCCTACTCTCTGACACACATCGCATGTACTACAATAGGTTCTGACATCAGCGTGTACCCCTGGCCAAAAAAAACGTGTGGGTGATGCGGTTAAGTGTGCGGGTCACAGCTAGGTGGCCTGCTAACGGAATGTCGTGTCCTACCCTCAGTATTTCTTGGCGGTATTTGTGGGTCACTACCAGCTGTCGTCTATTCTGTCCCCGTTTCTCAGTCAAGCGATACAGCTTCCCTTTTTCCCATAAGAATGTTTCATTATTTAGCCCGCCCTCTCCCGTCTCTGCCCTTTCTCTGTATTTTTTCAAGGTCGGGTCGGTCTTAGACTCGGTGTCAAAAGTAGTTGGGGTGTCCCAGGGGATGGGACCTAAGGGGTCAGTCCAGCTCGGGGTAAGTCTTACCTGTGTCTCCCGCACGGGTGAGGGTTCTCGCTGCGTCTGGGCTTGTGCTCGAGTAGTCACCAGATTTGCTTCATTGTTGTATGCTGGAGCATAGGCAGAAGTCATGGGGCCCAAATCGTTGCCCAGTAGTACTTCCGCAGGCAAATTATCCATTATGCCCACGTTCACGGCCCCTTTCCCCGCTTCCCAATCAAGATGTACTTTAGCGGTAGGAATCCTATAGACATCTCCCCCCGCCACTCTAACAGCCACAGTCTGTCCTGATCATTTTATGTTCCGGCACCAAATGTAATGGTAGCACCAGTGTCCCGTAGCCCCTCGGTGGAGCAACCCTCGAGCCATACCTTCTGCCGGTGGTGTTGGCGATTATCTGAAGCAGCATATACAGGATCAGCTTTGTGGAGTGGTCCCAAATCTTCCTCCATAAGGACCTCTTGGTTCACACAGAGTGACCTGGCAGGACGAGATGACCCGGGAGGGTAGTAATAATTCCAGGAGACCTGATGTGTGTTGAGAGGGCAGCTTGCCATGAGATGCTTGTTTGAATCTGAAAACACGTTGGTCGTGGACGGTCAGAGAGGTTGTTAGTTGGTGGTCCTGAGTACCGTATGGGCCCAGCGGGTACCGGAGCTCAGAAATCGGTGCGGGGAGACGTACGATAATTGTCGGTTTGTGCAAACGGGAATAATAATGCTCGTCGGCCGACTTGGCCGCTTCTTCCAAAGTAGCAGGTCGTCTGTCTCGCAGCCATTCCTTTCCCTGTTGCTCCATGCCATTATAAAAGTGCTCCAGCAGAAATAATAGCAAAATTTCCTCAGCAGTCACGGCTTTACTCCCGCTCATCCAGTGGTTTGCTGCCCTTCACATTCGGTGCGCCCTTTCCATATGCGTATCATTGGGCTTCTTTTTCGTGCTACGAAATTGCCGGCGATACGTGTCAGGAATCACAGTGTATCGTCGTAGGAGTGTGTTCTTGACCTGCGTATAAAAGTGTTTTTAAAATATTATTAATAATGAAAGAATCTGTATCTAAAACATTGATTTTGTCTTTGATTGCTTATTTAGTTAGGGATATGCCCCAATCATTTTTATTTAAAAAAAAAAAAAAAAAATTAGATGCGCACTTTATAGTTTTTGCAACACCATTCTGATTTTACTTGTGTTTGTGTGTGTGTGTTTTTTTTTAACCAACCCCAAAGCATTTTTTAAGTACATAAATTCTAAAAAAACGAAAAAATGAAAGTGTAGGTACACTAAAAACTTAAGCGGGGGTGTTCGTTAATGAAGACCAGGAAAGGGCAGGAATTTTAAATAACTATTTTTCCTCTGTATATATTAAGGAAGAACCCATGGCAATAGATGTGCAAATGATTGCTACTAAAAACTTGCAGAATAATTGTAATTGGTTAACTCAAGACAAGTTGCTGCAGCAACTAAGAAAAGTTAATATAAACAAAGCTCCAGGGCCTGACGGTATCCATTCACGAGTACTTAAGGAACTAAGTGTAGAAATAAGTGAACCTCTGTTTTTAATCTTTCAAGATTCTATTCTTTCAGGAAGTGTTCCGGATGATTGGAGGAAGGCAGATGTGGTTCCTATATTCAAAAAAGGTTCAAAATCCTTGCCTGGAAATTATAGACCTGTGAGCTTAACTTCTGTGGCTGGGAAAATATTTGAAAGGTTATTAAGGTATAGTATTCAAGAATTCCTTGAGAAAAACATGGTTATCAGCAAAAATCAGCACAGTTTTATGAAGCACAGGTCATGTCAAACTAACTTGATTGCGTTCTACGAGGAATTAAGTAGAAGTATAGATCAGGGTGTTGCAGTGGATGTGATCTATTTGGCTTTTGCCAAGGCATTTGATACAGTTCCACACAATAGATTAGTGTTCAAACTCAAGGAAATCGGTCTAGATGAAAATGCTTGTTCTTGGGTAGAACATTGGCTTAAAAACAGAGTACAAGGCGTTGTCGTTAATGGTAAATTTTCAAGCTGGACAAGTGCTGTCCCACCAGGGGTCTGTTCTGTGACCCCTTCTATTTAACATGTTTATAAATGATCTTGAAGACAGCATTCAAAGTCATGTTTCAGTGTTTGCAGATGACACCAAACTCTGTAAAATAATACAATGTGAGCAAGATATTACTTTGATGCAGGGGAATTTAGATAGACTGGGGAACTGGGCACTCAAATGGCATTTGAAATTTAATGTTGAAAAATGCAAAGTTATGCACTTCGGCGTAAAGAATACACAAGCAACGTATACCCTTAATAGAAGCAAATTAGGGATAACAACACACGAAAAGGACTTGGGAATTGTTATTGAGCACCTGTTCTAAAGAAGGATATTATGGCACTAGAAAAAGTGCAGAGGCGGGCTACAAAATTAATAAAAGGAATGGAACATATCAGCTATGAAGAAAGATTAACACATTTAAACCTATTTAGTTTAGAAAAACTTTACCTGAGAGGGGATATGATAACATTATACAAATATATTTGGGGCCAATACAAACCATTGTGTGGAAATCTATTCGCAAATCAGACTTTACATAGGACACGAGGTCATGCGTTTAGAGTGGAAGAAAGAAGATTTTGTCTAAGGCAAAGGAAAGGTTTTTTTTTTTACTGTAAGAACAATAAGGATGTGGAATTCTTTGCCTGAAGTAGTGGTTTTATCAGAATCCATACAGATGTTCAAACAGCTACTAGATGCATACTTGCAAAAACAGAATATTCAAGGATATAATCTTTCAATGTAGGGTAATAACTGCTTGATCCAAGGATAAATCTGACTGCCATTCTGGGGTCAAGAAGGATTTTCCTAGCTTGATGCAAAATTGGAAGTGCTTCAAACTGTTTTTTTTCCCTTCTTTTGGATCAACAGCAAAAAACAAATGTGAGGAAGGCTGAACTTGATGGACACAAGTCTCTTTTCAGCTATATTACTATGTAACTATGTAACTGCGTACAATACTCCAAGTGAGGTCTCACCAGTGTTTTGTACAATTGCATGAGCACTTCCTTCTTTCTACTGCTAATACCTCTCCCAATACAACCAAGCATTCTGCTAGCATTTCCTGCTGCTCAATTACATTGTCTGCCTACCTTTCAGTCATCAGAAATAATCACCCCTAAATCCCTTTCCTCAGATGTTGAGGTTAGGACTCTATCAAATATTATGTTCTTTGCCCTTGGGTTTGGGTTTATCCACATTAAATGTCAGTTGCCACAACTCTGACCATTTTTCTAGTTTACCTACATCATTTGCCATTTGGCTTCTCCCTCCTGGAACATCAACCCTGTTACATATCTTAGTATCATCAGCAAAAAGACATACCTTACCATCAAGAACTTCTGCAATATCACTAATAAAAATATTAAAGAGAATGTGTCCAAGTACAGATCCCTGAGGTACCCCACTGGTTTTGTTGCAATAAGATGTTTTTAGTTCATGTATTACCATGGGACTTAGGTTAGTGCACTATTTAGATAATAAGGGATCCGTATCTTCACCTTAATTATGTGTATGTAGATCAGCAAATGTTTTGTGTGATCTTATGACATTTTTAATGTTAGTAATGTGTCTTGAGTGTTCAAATGATATGCTTTAATCTGCTGGTATCATTGAACATATATAGTGGCATCAGATCATTTTCATCACTTAAGAAAGGGGTACCCCTGTTTAGACTCATTGTAATGCAGGGATTAATTTAGGCTACACCTCCTGATTTTGCCATTGTCCAACATGGCATGATTAGCACAAACGATATAGGGGCAGGACCTGTGTTTCATCTTGCTAATCAAATGTGTGTAATCTATGCCAAAGTTATTGCCCCTTTGGTTACTGATTGGTTGGTTATTGCAGAGGGGGAGGATGTTAGCTAGTATATTCTTAATCATAGTTTGGACGGACCATCCAGTGAACTCAAACCTTTCCCTGTTACAATTGGCTGTACAATCATTAACTTGGATTGTGAACAATTTAAACCTCACCTTTTAGTTGCTTAGTACATTGCCCTGAACGAAGATGCAGTTATAGCACCAAAACTGCTTTGTTCACGTTTTACTTCAAATTTAATTTGAGCATGCTATGATTTGTTTTCACTAACTTTAGGCTACTCGGAGGATGAATGGGCACACTGGATTGGAGTGACAAGTTTAACTAATTGTTACCGAATCTCAGGTTGAGGATTTGGATCACGATAACAGTATACATAATTTTTGTTCCCTCTTTCCTTTTCCCATATGTGATAATATATTATTTTTAGAAATAGTCTGTTGACAGGATTGAGACATGGTATCTATTTAATTTTGAAACATTTCTGTTTGGATATCACCTGAAGAGCGGTTTCCTCAAATAAGTTATAATTGATTCAGTTTGCAATGAGGCACTTTGTAGCTCTTTTGGCTTGAGGTTGTGAACAATTGTGAATTGCTCCTTTTTTAAACTTTGCTTATATAGGTACTAATACTGTGAAGAACTGAACCTCGTCACAGGTTCTTGGAGGGGCCTGCTGGCCAGCCTCTT